AGGGGATCTTCCCGACCCAGAGATCAAACCTGCATCTCATGTCTCCTACATTGGCAGGTGGCTTCTTTACCACTAGTGTCACCTGGGAAGCCCATCTGCAATATGACTATTATTCACTCAGTCTTCTTTCCCGCTGATGAGGGAAAGGTTCTAGCTCTACCAGTGGTCCCCTACCTGCTACCTTCAAAAATGCCAGACATTTTTTAAAAGAGCCACACCTCTTTTCTATCAGTATTTTAACATAGTCAGTGACATGGGACATTTATATATTGGTTATAAAGAAAAAAGATCAATATTGGAGTTCTCATAGAAGGTTCTTAGAAGAAGTTCTTGAAACAGGAATAACATTGAAACATATACATTACCATATATGAAATAGATAACCAGTGTGAGTCTGATGTATGAGGCAGGGCATCCGAAGCCGGTGCTCTGTGACAACCTGGAGGTATATGAGTGGGGAGGGAGATGGGAGGTGCGGTTCAGGATGGAGGGGACATATGTATACCTATGGCTGGTTCATATTGATGTATGGCAAAAAATCACAATATTGTAAAGTAATTATCCTACAATTAAATTAATTTTTTAAAAAAGAAGTTGAATGGAGAATTTGGGTAGAAGAGTAGAAAGAGCTTTTAATTCTTTTTTGCAATGCATGGTGCACTGGGGTGGTCAAAATCAGGACATGTGTGATATTTTACCACTTTATTGTTCATTCTATTCCCACCTTCCATTCCCTTTGTCTCTTCTTTCTTATCCATTTGGGTTTCTTTCCTGATTTTTCAGTTTGTTTGTTTTGGATGAAGTTATCTCTTGTGATCCGTGGAAGGGGGGATTTTTATCTACCTTCCATGTCCCCCAACACCCCGCAGAATTCAGGCACAGATACCAACAGCCTACAACCAGTCACCAGCCTAACTTGCACAGAGCAAGCTACCTACCTCTTGTTAGGATTAGTGTCTGATTCTGAAAAGAAATCTGTTTTCTCATACATAACTTCTTTGCAAAGCACTGGTGAAGTCTTGTTTTGTTTTGCTTTTAAATTAAGCTTTCTGTAAAATTCTGAGGTATTTGAATTCCGTTTACAGTCAAGGCTCTGATGTATGTGTTAGTCATCTCCCAGCTAACAGCCTCTTGGCAGGCCATTAATTCAGTTACTATGTGTTTACAGGAGTTCAGAATTTCACATTGCCTAGAGTTTTTCCAGTGTCCTCCAGTGCCTCCAGTGTCCAGGCACTTTTTTTCATGCTTTCCCAGTCCTTCTGGGCATTCAGAATCACTTTCTGGTACTCATGTTTCAAGTCAATTACCTCTTCCTTTTTATTTGCCTGATTAATTTTGAACTTGAAATATTCATATTTTATACTTTTTTCCGGAATCAGGCCAAAGTTTCTTCTCATTGTGTTTACTTCAGAAGGCCCAGAACATAAGATTAGCTATATCACTTGTGCAGCACCCAAAAAAAGTGCTTGCTAGTACAAGAGGGAAAAGTGAACCTTTACCATTTGTGCCTCATACTGTTCCTTTTAGTTCTATTTTTCCCAGTCACTGTCTTTTCTCATTAAGTACACGAAAAATGTTTTAGCAATATTTTCACATAACTCAGCTCTAACAACTCCCTATTCCAGTATTTACCTTGTTCCCTCTTGTCAGAAAGCCCGTGAGCTGTGATGTTTTCTCTTATTCCGGGGGTGCTGCCCGTTCATAATGGAAGCCTGGCCCTTAATGAGAGTGTGCAGTCCGTCCTCAGCCTCTCACATCCTGTCTGGATTTTCCTTCAGAGGTTCTTCCTCTCCCTTTTCCCTGAGCCACCAGAATCTTCGGGTCTCATCTCTCCAGTTAGAACCTACTCTGGTGTATATGATTCACATGTATGCATGCTCAGTCGTATCCAACTCTTTGTGACCCCATGGACTGTAGCCCACCAGGGTCCTCCATCCATGGGATTCTCCAGGCCAGAGTACTGGAAGTGTGACGTGAAAGTCAGTCAGTCATGTCTGACTCTTTGCGACCCCATGGGCTATATATACAGTCCATGGGATTCTCCAGGCCAGAGTACTGGAAGTGTGACGTGAAAGTCGGTCAGTCATGTCTGACTCTTTGCGACCCCATGGACTATATATACAGTCCATGGGATTCTCCAGGCCAGAATACTAGAGTACTGAAGTGGGTAGCCCTTCCCTTCTCCAGGGCATCTTCCCAACCCAGGGATCGAACCCGTGTCTCTTTCATCTCCTGCATTGGCAGGCAGATTCTTTACCATTGCGCCACCTGCAGACCCCTTGTATTATTCACACTGAGGCGCAGTTTCAGAGTTTCAGAGTCTCTCTGTTGCTCTTGGAAGCAGACTGTGTGCCTGACAGCACAGGGGAGGGGCCTACCAAGACCCCGAGTTGTCATAAGCTGTTTCCCATTCTGTTCTCCTTTAGTTAAAATAATTAGAACCTCATCAGTAATGTTGAGACCACCCCACTCATTATGCAAGGGGGTCAGTACTGAAACCCCCAAAGGACTCTTTTATACGGTCCCGCAGAGTGGACCAAAGAAAAGAAATTGCTAGAGCCACTCTTATTTTTTTAGAGGTTGTGGGTAACTTGGGAGTCCTAATGGTATGTCAATTTAAACCCTAAATTGTCAGTTTGTCGTTTAGAAGGGCTTCCTAAATTCGGTTTAAGACATTCATATCCTGTCTGGTCGAGTCTTCTTCTAGTACTGCCGGTCATTTCCTTGGACTCAAAAGTTCAGAAAGGAGTGAAGAACAGAGTCCGTTTTAAAGCCTCCCAAACCATAGCTAGTCTGAGCCTCCTGGTTGGGCTTAAGATAATGGTGCCATTTCAGCCATGGCGAGGGACTCCCAGGTTTTTGGAATCATGACACAGCTTTAGTTTTCCCGCAAGCATCTGAGCTCATATCACCAGAGTTTTCATCCCTTCCTGATATTTAAGATATTAAAGAACTCCAGTTTTCGGTTGAAAGCATAGCAGGCACATGGGCTCTGATGACTGCTGCAGGTGGTATGGGCTATATGAGAGAACCTAGTTTTGATCTTAAACTGTCATCTGAATTCTGAGTCAATCCAGGAAAGTAGTAAAAATTAGTAATGTATATTATCTCTTATACACCTGTTTTTCATTATTCGGTCATCTGTGTGTGTGTGTGCATGCACACACACATACAATCTTTCAGTTTTTCTAAAAGAGACGGACCACGGTTCCAAAAGGAAATGACTAGTGTGGTACCTTGGAATCTGAACCCTATCACATGTTCTGAAGGTAATAACTCCAAATACATTAGCAGCTTGTCTTTCTTCCATTGCCTACATTTTAGAAAAGAAAACACCTGGATAGGGGAAGGTTGGCTAACTTACAGGCCATCAGATTTAATGCTCTAAAGATAAGTAAATGATTTGATAGCCATTACAGAGTAGCAGGAGCTGTAAAATTGGAGTTAAAATTCCATAGCAGTGGTCTTAAAATCAGTAGGGTTAGTTAATACCCAGCAGCAGCCGACTGCTCTTCATCACTCGTAAGGCTGGGAAAGAAGGAGATTAGCTTCAACTGTAATCAAAGAGACTTATAAGACTTGTAGTGGGAAATTCACCATCAGTGGAGACTATTTTAGAAATTGAAACAATCAGGCAATAGAAGTGGAAGAATGATGTCTTCCATTAGCTTTACAATAGGATATATGATCTGCTCAAGACACTTAAAGTTGATAGATAATTAGATTTAATAGTTTTTAACCTTTAAGGGGCGATAGACCTCATTAAGAATCTGATGTAACCCCCCTCTCCAGAAGAATGCTCACACAAATAAAACTTTGCATGTAATTTCAGGGAACTTATGGACTCTCTGAAGTCTTTGCATTAGACGCCGTTTTAAGACACCCCAGATTAGGTGATCTCTGTAAATCTTTTCCTGCCTCATAAGTGACAAATTCCATAGTTCGGTTTTCTCAAACACAATGGAATCCGAGGATCAAATGTCAAACTTTGGATTTTCTTCCTCTGGATTTATAATACTTGGCATACATGGTGTAGTAGTAAAAAAAAAATTAAATAAAAAATAAAAAAATAATGGAATAGAAAGAATTCTACTTTTAAATTCAGTTCTTTGTCTTAGAGAAGCCAAATGTTTAATTTTAAAATCACTGGTTGGTTGTGTTTCATCTTCATGAAAAGGCAGTGTAGGACTAGACCTTCGTCACCATTCTTCCTGATCCCCACAGCCAGCTCTGGATTCATGGTTGAAAATGTAAACTGAGATGCCACGTTGACTCCCCAGCCTTCTTCCAAGTTCACACATCCTCTCGCTGTATTGCTCTGACTGTTCAGCTGGACTTGAAAGATGTTATCTACTTAAAATTCTTCCTTCAGTTTTATGCCAAGTTTCATTGACTGCAAGTTGGAAAACACCACCCAGAATTACAAATCAGGGAATAAATTATTATAACCTTCACTGTATTTTTATGTTCCTAATTTCTAACCCTTAAATGCATAGTTGGGAATATCTTAATGAAATTAGAAATATTACTGATTCACAGGAACCAAGCACTCTTGGCCAAGGCCTCCTTACGATTCACATGATATGGTGGTCCATTTGACAAATTACTCCTTCACACTGTTGAAAGGGAAGGAGAGGACTTAAATATTCTTCCCCCTACACCCCCTCCCCACCCTCTGCTTCTGAAATCTCCTCTGTTCCAGTTGCTGCAGTCATGATACAACTGTATGAAAAGCATACGAGACTTACAATGTCTGTGAATAGATAACCTGTGGTATTAACTCTGACAGTGCCTCCAGCGCTTACTGAGCCAGTGAAGGTTGTCTGGGAACTAGAATTGAGGAGAGGACAGTCCAGTAATTGATGAATTCTCTCTATACCCTTGAAAGCATATTGACAGTTCACACCTTGGAGCTCATGATGTCTTCCTGGGATTGAAGCTTATAGTGGAATTTCACCTTCTGTTGAATATTTATTCCTTGTGTGTATTCCTCTCTGCAGAGAATGTGATCAACGGGCAGGATTATGAAGTGATGATGCAGATAGACTGTCAGGTGATGGACACCAGAATCCTCCACATCAAAAGCTCGTCAGTTCCTCCTTACCTCCGGGATCAGCAGAGGAATCAAACCAACGCTTTCTTTGGTTCCCCCCCAGCAGCCCCAGAGGCAGCCCACGTTGTCAGCACCATCCCCGAGTCATTACAGTAGTACCCTGGGCTACACTGGAAAGCTAAGAATGGGACCCTGCCAGACTGGTGAGTGGGTGAGACAAAGGTTTCTTTTTGCCGCGGTGGCAAGCAGAGAACTGCCGCATGATGGAATTCAGGAGACAGAAGAGGAAGCCACGAAGCTGCCCCATTTTCCATCTGCCTGTCCACTAGAAGAGCCCTGAAGCTCGGACACCAGGCAGCAGCAGTTCTCCAGGGCACAGGCCGCCCTGCGTTCTTCACCGCTGCCTGCTGTAGAGTTTTTTTTTTTCTGTACTTTTCTAAATTACTTTTCCCTCTGTATTTGTTTTGTGTTTAACTAGTCATATTCTTTCAAATAAGACCCACTTCCCCTCTCTGCCATTTCACTTTATGTACCGTAGTTTCATTTAACAGCACACAGATGTTTCCACTGATTAGATCTTTCATCAACTTAATGCAAACCAATTGTGGATGGGTGCTTATTGGAAAGCAAATGTCAGAACCAGCAGAGCCAAAAGCATCCCCAAGAGAGGCAAACCCTTTGGAGTGTTAGATAAAAGGGAAAATCCTCTGGTGGCAAAGTTTATCTTGGGATTTGCAGTTCACACCTGAAACGGCAGGAGAACAACTGTATTGGGGGGGAAGGTAGTGAATTTGAGAGAATGAAATGGAAGAGATGGGGCGGGGCGGGGGGGGGGCTTTTGAAAGAGGTGATAGCTCCATTAATACATATATTTAAAACACTGAAAGTTTGATGTGATTGCAGTTTAATTTAAAGCCACAGCTACCACTTATTCTGAGGACCGTGGGCCACTGAGAATTAGCACATGTATTTATGTCTTTGCTTATCTGATTCAGATCGTCAAAGACCACAGAACAAGTCCTTCATTTTATTGTGAATCCCCACACACTACACACCTTCTATTAATATGATACCCAGTTCAGGTAAGGAGCATGTAGGTAACTTTAGATTTAAACAAACTTGAGTTTTTTCTCTTGAGAATTGACAGGTATTTACTCCTTTAAGACTATGCAGACAGGCAAATTAGATTCCTACTGGTGGATTGCATCCTATAATATGACAGTAATTTTCAGTTCTCCAGTGAAAAGGCAGTGAAGGAATTTAATTCTTTTGTCCTCCCATTATTAAAGCCAAAACAAAACAGAAAAATATCTTACTTTGTTCACTTGTACTTTACTTTCTTCTCCTCTGTGGTTTCTACCTTTAGCTTCAAAATAGGTGTTTGACCCTCTCCTCCTCTGAAACTTTTCAATTTCTCAGTAGAATGCATTCTGCAAACACCGCTTCTTATCCTAATTGACTTGCTTTGGTCCAATTTCTTCCCTTCCATTCCACACTGTATCAGTCTCTTCCTCCCTGCAAGAAAAGAACAGAAAAAATACATCAACTCCTCAAGGATTTATATGTAGCGAATTAGTTTTCTGCCTGTGAAATTAGGCCTGGTTCCCAAATAATTCTGAAGACGCACCAGCTCTTCTGTGTGGGCAGTGGTGCTTCTCTCAGTCAGTCAGATGCTTTTGGAGGAGATCAGTTTAGCTCTTGTGAGGGGAAGTAAAGGGCTCTGTTGCTCTGTTCCCTCCCCGGGAATCTGGACTTTTGAGAAGTAACAGCAGCCTCCTTTTCTGTATGTACAAATCGTTTTAAATCAGGGCAGCACCCCACTCTGATTCAGCTGTCCTGGGCAAGTTTCAGACAAGAGCCACTTTCCCAGGGGACCACTCTGCCTTCTGCTGTGTACCAAGAAATAGAAGGCAAGCGAGTGCCTAGAAGGCCAGTCTTCTGGAATGTCTTCTCCCGGCCCTGATCCTTCCTATTCTGTCTTGTGAATTATTCCAAACAAGAGGCTCCTGCCATAGCTAGTGGTCAGTGGCCACATGGTCGTTCCCACGCTGCCAGTCTTCCCCTGGAGCTGAGGCCGTCATCACGGGGGATACACATACAAGTGTGCGCAGAGCGATTATAGACGGAGCTTCCTTCCTGCCCTTTGCACTGAACCACACGAGAGCGAACGGTCACGTGGGGCTCTTGGTTTTAGCACTGGCTTTTATTACTTTATCCCTCCATTCCCAGAGTTTCCTGCGCTCATTTCACCAAGTGGCCAGGCTGAAGACTTACGTGTTGTGCCACCTGAATGCCTCTCTCAGGTGCGTTAAGTGTGGATTAAGAGTACCTGTGAAGTGACCATAAAAAGCAGTCTGGGAGCCTTGCCTACTCTCACTCACCAACCCTTCTGCTCCTTGTCATGACCTATTCTGGAATTGATCTTTTTGAGAGGTGGGAACAGGATTCTCAGGGTAAAGTTTCAGGAAATGAGTGAAAGGCAACTGACAAGTGCAAAGAAATATTATACTTCATAAACTGCTGTCAAGGCAACTGCTAATCCCTGGGCATAATGGTATTTTTATTTTAATGTCTGTACGCTAGCTCAAGGTCCTTAGGAAATGGAAGGTTGCTGTGCCTGATGAATAAATTAAGCTATTCTTTCCCTTAATTGTTGTGGTGAGATTGCCTTTTGGGGATGGCAACCAGGAATTATGGCGGATGTGTGGGTGTATATTTATTTAATTTTTTAATTTATTAAGTCTTTAAGTGGTATTTTGCAAGGTTGTGAGAATATTAGATAAGCTCATGGAGAGGCCAAGTCCGCCTGTTACTAGATGACTGTGCCCTTTGGGGCACTGGTACTACTCTGTTGGGAAATGATGGTGAGAAGACTTCTAGGTATGTTTTTCCCACCTGGGTGCGACTTTTTAAGGCTTCGTGGAAGTAGATGTTCCCTTGTGCTACCTACTGAGTCAGATGTCAGGAGCTGCTTCCCCATGGGGTTAACTCACTAAGCACAACAGGGACACAGCTCCATTAGGACCATAGTGTCAAATGTCTCTTTCTAAAGTTAGGGTTTGTGAAAGGATCATCTTGAAAGAAATATATTGATTGCCATCCTTGTAGTTTATGTTATTGGGTAGTGTTTGTTGTTTCACAAGTAAGAAATTCCCTGTGATTATGAAAGCTCAGAGCATCTTCTAATTTAAAAAAAGAAAAAGAAAAATGACTACAGGCTTCAGAACAAAGCTGGCATTTCTTTGCCTTCTCTTGTTAGCAAGAAGTAGACGCAGAGGTATTTGAAAGCAGCAATGTTACATGAGTCATTCCTGAGTGTTCTGAATAAACACTGCTTAGAAACAGACAAGAAACTTGGGATTCAAACTGATTTTTCTAGCATTTTTAAAGAGACACTGTCCAGATTATACTTTCCTGGCTTGAATCTGCCTCCCGGGAATGAACCCCCAGTAGTCACAGCAGCGACACTCTGATGAGACCCTGCTGCTACGGCGTCTGGAGTGATTAAAGCTGGAGAACTCTCAAGCTCTTTGCCGCTTTTGTATTATTTTCTGATTCTCAGCATTTTACTAACCTCAGGTGGTGAAACTTGACAATCAGAGAGAAACTTGTAATTGCATTTGACTTTCTAATACATTGCCAAGTTTCAAAGCAGCTTCCGCTTTCAACTATTAGAAGTGACCACTTTTACTGAAGAGCCAGAGTTGAGAGTCCATGCCCTCTCCAGTCTGACCTCATGGAAATTTTCCACCATGAAAGCCCTCTTTCCACTGCACACTGCTGGGCCAGCTCAGCTTCCTGCTGTAGAGTCATAGGACACAGCTTCAAGTGAGACCTGCATAATATCCTATTGGCTGTTTTCATACAGATTAACCTCTCAAATAAGATTGCTTAATGCCAGAATTGATAGACATTTTTGACCCTCTATAGACCCATCATTCTTTGCCAAATGCTACTCCTGTTAGTCTTGAGTCATTTTAATTTACAGAAATTAGGATCTTCGCTGCTAATATGAATACTAATTATAACTTTTACCTTAAAAGCAGAATAAAGCTTAAAGAGATAAAATGAAGTGTAAGAAATTTTTATTCTTACACCTAATAATAGTTGGGAGGGAGCAATTCCTATTTCCCCTCACCTCTAGGGGTTGAGATTGAATTTTAATTTTCTAGGAAATAGAACATTGGACTACCACCCAAAATGTTGCCAGAGTCCAGATGGAACTATGCACATTAAAAAAAAAAAAAAAAAAACTTTTCTCTTACCTGAAAAAAGAGTCTGTTCTGTTAACTTATATTTTTAATGACTAAAACTTAAAACAAATTTTATTTTGGACAAGACTAGAACTTTCTGCAGTTTATTCTGAAATCTGTATGTTAATCTGTCAGGTTTTCTGTCAGAACTTACGAAAAGAAGGATGACAGAGGTGTGTGGATCAGGAAACTTGCCCTCTGTGTGAATCAGCTCATGGCTAGTCACTGTCAGACGGCGGGCGCCATTCTCAGCATAGTGCTTTGCTGCTGCCTTGACGCCTTAGACACTTAGCACATTAAAAGACTTTTAATTACATTAAATGGGGGACCAAGGAGTAAATAAATCATAGTTTATCGTTTCCAAGGTCCGCACCATCTTGCTGCTTGCCCCCAGTGATGTTGCTGACCATTAGTCAACAAGCAGACCAGGAGGCTTGGCCTGTTGCCCAGTAGGATCACCTCAGACAGAGTTTAGTGGGTTGACTTTCGCAACAGATGTATATTGAACCATTTTAACTCACACTTAGCCCTCATTTCTAGGTCAGTCATCTTCATGAGAGATGGTGGGGAAATAGAGCTTTAGATGGAAACTACTCTGTACTACTGGCCTTAGAGATGCTAGTCACTTGTGATCACATTGGCAGTATGGTTAGTCTGAGACCAATAGTGCTTCTCCCACGGAGCTATTAGAACCTGAGGAGAGAGCATCCGAGATACCGTTTCACCAGGACTCTCTTTCTAAGGTTGTATCCATGCTTAGTTAAGAATGGGTTAAAATGTGGAGGAAAGATGTACCATTTTCTCCCTTAAAATTTTGTTTTGTTTTGTTTTCAACACATAAACAATGACAGCAGACTATGATATGCTTTTAAGCAAGTCTTTATAATGCAATACTTGTTCTTT